CCCACGTGCGTAGAGCCCGTGCACCTCCATAAGAGAAGCCACCGCAATGAGAAGCCTGCACACTGCAAAGAAGAGTAGCCCCAGCTTGCCACAAGTAGAGAAAAGCCTGCACGCAGCAATGAAGACCCAACGCAGCCAAAAATAAATTAATTAATTTTTTAAAAAGGTATCTTTGAAAATCTAATTATAATATATAGTGTTTTAGTCTAGCAGTAAGAAGCAAAAAGTTGAGATTTTCTTGGTATTCTTATAACCAAATATCTACCCCAGATGCATACTTAGAGTGTTGTTATTTCTTGGTAATTTTACTTTTCAATCATTTGCTTGGTCATGGAGGTATTAATGGGATGGTAGCCAAGCTTTACATGTGCAACGGCTTTTTCGTGTATTCTTCCCTCTATCCATAATGCTTTTCCTAAGGACCTTATTAATACACCAGAACTCAGATTAAATTTTACTTTCTCAGTGAGCCTTCTTCGACCAACACCATCTAAATAGGTCCTTCCCCGTTATTCTCTATCCTCCTGACATGTTTATTGTTTTCAGAGCACTTCATATTTTCAACTAATCTAAAATCCTAATTATAACTTAAATCATCTGGCCCCTGGCCACCAATTCACAAATCCCATTTTTTGCCACTCTTCCCTGTGCTCATATTTTCACACTGACTTTCTTGATGCTCCCAGGATACACGCGTGAGGTCCTTCTCCAGAGCACATTCTTCCAGATGTCTGCAAAGTTTGCTTCCTCACTTTAATCGGGTCTCTTCTCCAATGTCACCAACTCGGAGGAAAGGGTCTTCCTTGACTATCATGTTTCAAACAGCAGCCCATCACTCTCTTTGATTCAGTCTTACTTTTTCTCACTAGCACTTATAGTTGTATACCTATGTGTTCAGTGTGTGGTTCTCTCATTAGTATGTAAACTCCATTAGGCTTTATCTACTTTGTTCATTAGGACCACCATATTGCTTAAAACAGTGCTTGCCATAAGGCTGACACTCAATAATTTGTTGAATGAGTGAATGAATTCCTAACTTATTATGTTTTCCCCACTGGACTCTTAAGGACCATAAAAGCAGAAACTTTGTCTCTGGCATTCCTTTA